TTGCACATCTACAAAATGACCAAAATTTGAGGTGACTAGAGCAATCACTAACCTCATTCAATCTATCAAATACCAACAAAAAATCATCTTCAGCTCCTATAATACGATATTCGGATTTCTCCCAACAAAACAACCATTGCGTCAAAGAATCTGGAACAAAAACCAAGAAATTGAAAACTTTGCAGATTAAGATACTATGTAAGGCACGCTCACACTACCTCGCGGCTTGAATATCACCGCCAATAACTCATTTAACGGATGAGAGAGCGAATAGAGAGCAACTTGCTCTTCCGCCGAAATACCGAAACACGTTAGATCACGCTCTACGAGCAACCCAAACTTGGTTGCGTATACAGCGTGAATCTGAAAGAAGTAGCGGTGAGGAGAAAATGTTTATCGGTGTGACAAAATGGAAGCAAGGCGAGGTACAGGGGTCACAGAGGAACCGCGTTCACGGTAGTGAGCATGATAGAATACCAGTGATTCTATCAATTTTCAGCGAAAAATATCTTGCAGACGCTCACAAAATAAACCGGGAAGAGAGGCTTCTCTATATTTACAAGTGATCCATTGATCACAGCAAGTCATCGTAAAAAAATTCACTTAAAAAACACTGTGACTCACATCGAACTGCACACGAAATCCCAATGGATGGGAATCATTGACAGCAATGAACATCAAATCGCGCAAACCAACGATGCAAAAAAATTCTTGAGTAACAGCTGTCTCTATTTCACTCTTTGAAGGAGGAAATACAACCCAAAGTAGCTGAAAAGAAAGCAGTGAACTAAATCATTTAAAAATTAAAATACCTCTGAAGGAAAAAAAACTTCATCTTGACGAATTCAAAAGTTTTGTGTGCTACTAAAGACTTCAGCTCGAAGTGAATGAGTTTCATTTGGTTCTTTTTCCCCCCCCAAAGAGCCTGCAGGTCGATTCCTCACTATACAATCTTTCCTGAACTTTTAAACGCTTCCCTAAAGAACATCTGTAGTCACTCTACAACCAAAACTTAGCAGCATTATCTATTAGTGAGGAAACCAAAGTACTGGTGGTTTGAACTAAAAAGATGGCCAATTTATGGGCTCACGCACAATCTAAATTGCCTACAATTGAACGTTTTCATGTTCAAAGTAACAAAGCGACTATCTGATGCTCCATATACATGCCATAGCAAAAATGATGGCAAAATTATCAAACATACCTGCCGAATGTCAAAGGGCACGTCCTGCCGTAAAAGTGTTTTACCAGTTCCCAGTAACAATGTCACTTCACGATCTACTGCAACAGCATAGATAGACTGACCATCACCGCATGTCCGCTGACAGAAGAGCAACTGAAAGAGAACAAATTCTCCGATAAATTTATTCACAGTCATTTTAAATGACGTCCGAATTCGACTCTCAATGAAAATCGGCATATTCGGCGGAGCGCCAGCCAAAAGAGGCGCTTATGTCGATCAAAAATGCAAGGGATCCAAACAGGAATCCACACCTTATCAGCTCATATTTCGTAGAAATAGTCTAAAATCAAGCACAAAAGTCAGCCGCTTGCTCGTAGTTTACCAACGATGAGGTCGAGGTGGCCAGAAGCGCAGGAGCTAGGGGGAATAGTAGTCCCCTTGCTAGAGGTTTTGGGAGGAAGAGAGGAACATAACAAGTACCGCTTTCTAGAGCGATGGCCGTAAGGCGTAAGCGCGTGTTGAGTGCACTATGTTCACAGTGTGATCATATCAAGGTTATAGGTTTGGCTCTTGCATAGCACTTCTAGTGTCACAATGGCTGCTTTTGCTAACCAGCGCAAAGGGAAATAAATATTCAAGGGCTGCTGCGACTCGTGATAAAAGGCGATGGACCGGTCTGTCTAAAAGCAGGGATTGATAAGGCCTCACGTCTGAATTACAAGTGAATGCACGAGGAGAGATGTTTCAGAAGACTTCTTATTTCTTTATTTCAGACCAAATTGTAGCACTAGAAAGTGAGCGATATGCAAGAGACGACTACTCGATGTTCAAAAGAAAAACCCTACAAAACAAGAAGAGAAAAAAAAGAATTTTTCAAAGAAGATTTGATAGTAGATAGGAAAAGCAAACGAATCAATTCCCCCAGAAATCCACCAACTTTTCAAAGAACTACTTCGGAAAAAGTTATGGCCATTTGAATTCCAGAACAGCACTTTCAGAGAAAGTGCATGAAAATCTTGAAAAACTACCAACGTAGGTAGAAATTTTTCGCGGGTCAGACCAGTCGAAGCGCCTTGAGAATGCTCAGATCTTGTAGTGTACCGTAAATGTTTAAAACAATTTCAGAGCTGATGACTATTTCAAGTTCAAAAACTGATGTTGCCAAAAACGTAGACTCACAAACAAAAAAATTACCAGCGGAAGAACTTTTTGAAAAAAAAAACTCACAATTAAGGTTCACCATTTACTCGTGAGCTCAAACCTTCAAGTTCTCTTAACTCGCTCCATAGAAAACAATTTAAAGAAAGTTTCGACAGTTTGAATGTTGGAAAAGCCCCGCATGCCCACGAAAAATTTGCGAATGGCAAACGACATTTGAAGGAAGTTTCAGAATCATATCAGAGAACTATCCTGATCCTGTGGGACCTTCTGGACTCGTCATGAAAGGTCACAGCTCAAGGAAACTTATGACATTTCAAAATGGAAACTGTGAATTTTGACAGACTTTCTTTGAAATTTCACTTTATGGGTGCACTTTATAATGAAAGCGGTATTCAAAATTAAGAGCAAGTTTAGAATAAGAGGAAAGTGGAGCCTTGTAGATTTCAAATATAAACAGATACTTCTCAGGTTGGAAAGTGGTAGTTGTACCCGTTCAAAGACAAAAGCTCGTGCCTCTCTCTAACCATGTCTGAAAGAAGCATAAGATGTTCCATCGTGTGCTGCCCAGCAAGCGCTGTATAGAAGGTCAAACGCGATCATTTTCGTATTTCGATCTGTAGTTCCAACCCTCATTTCAGAAATGATTGGAGGGTGGTCGTAAGAAGAGTCTACTCGAAGCAAGGTGGTCATGTGGAACCCTAAAATCTAACGACACCGTCGTTGACCTTCATTTGATTTCTCCTGAGGAAATAACGCAACAAAAGTGCCCTTGGCCAGCTAACCATTTAGGCTGAGTTCCCCTTGCCCTACGATTTCCAATGATATAAGGCATGACGTGGAACAGCTATAAGGGGCTCAACTTTTGACAATGGACACATCAATTCACTATAAACTAGAAGCAATCTAAGAAATCTCCGGTAAAATGGCTAACCTTATTCGTGTTTCCTTT